CAGAAAGTGTTTGAACAAATGTTTAAATGTCTATTAACCAAGAGTTATTTGATTTGTCAGGTTGCGGTGAATTGCCTTTTTGGGGGAGAAATAACACCACAGGATGAAACAGAGAAGGAAAACAGTTTTAAAGCTAAACTTCAGTCACTAATCAGGTGAAGACATTTCTACTTATATAAATTTAAGATTAACTACTCTGGAAAAAGCCATCTGCAGACAGGAAATTGGACCCTCCAAGATACTTTTAATAAATAGCCTTTAATAATGTTTTACTTTCATATAAGGGAATGTTGAAAGAAAGAAAGCTTACTTTATATGAGCAAGAAAAGCATAATGTTAGCCCTGATAAACGCCTAACATCAGTGTCCACAGATACTGGAGCAATGATTTTTTTAAAAGTCTGTTTAAAACATTTCTCATTAGTTCCTTTACATCAGATACAGAGGTGATGACAGAAATGAAATCTAGTAGTAGCTAAATTGGCACTACAGTAATTATAAAATAGCTCTTTCTCTACAGGCAGCTGCCAGCAGTCCATATTAATTTATCTAAAGGGGCTTCATACTGTAGCAAATAGCAATTGCAAATAAGATAAGAGAGAAAGAGAAAGCCTTGAGATAAGTAACTGCAAATATTCCAGCTGCCTCACAGTAGCCATTAAATGAGAGTCTTTACTTAAAAAAATACCCTTTCTTCATTTATTCATAACTTTGTTTTAGTTTCATTTTTTCCCAATGAGCTCTTTCTTTACAAATAGGTTTTCTGCAAAGAAAACTTAAATTCCAGAGACTTTTAAATAGCAACAGAGCTTTGTTATGTTCAAATTTCTTAGAGAACTCTTTTTGAGTGTTTACACATATTTTTGATTGTAGGTCTGTTTCTGAAAAACTGATGATTGTTCATAATACTATAGTTCTCTTGAGGGAAGACAAACGCACATTTCAGATGAGTTGTTACAGAATGTAGAGGTTCCTCTGCATTGCTCAGAGCTGATAGATAGTATACAGAGGGGATGTTAGAGCATCTCTAGAGTTCAAGCTTAGCAGGAATGAAATGTAATTCCTGTTCCTGAAGGCACAGCGTGTCTTAAAAAATGTTTGTTTTTCCAATTTACATTTTTTTGGTCACCTTTCCACAGCTAATCTTAAAATGTGCAGAAGTAATAACATCTATATTTTAAGAGAGGCAACAGTTACTATTCTCCCTTCAGCTAAAGAGTTTTTCTATGGTCCTCCATGAAAATCACGTACGTGTGTGCATGGATGTTTTTAGGAAGCTTCAGGGTGGATACTATTTTTTGCCATGAGACACACGGCCACCCTTTTTTACACAGTCTTATGAGAGATTGACTGGCTGCTTAGTCCATTTCCTGAGACCATGAGCAAATGTTATATCTAATAAGCAGTGCTAAATCCAGCTCTTACCTGCTTCTGCAAAGACTATTTTTTCCCAGCTGGCCGCCCTAAGGAATGCGTAAATGGATCGATAGGGGAGAAGAACAGATACCTTGTGATAAAAGGAGCTGTGGCTCTTCAAAAGAGGAGCAAGCAGACAGAATTCCCACACAGGGAGGACTCGCTCAACTCCTCTTTCAGGCTACTTTAACTTTTGAATAGCACCCCAAAATGTCCCACAGAATAAAAACATATGAAATACATTATTTCTGCTCTTTTTTCTATTTTGAAGCCTTTTATAAAATCTCTATTCCCCCAGACTTCGAATACCAATATTCTGAAGTCCAAAGTTTATTGGGTATCATGAAATTTTTAATGATGGCAGTAGTGGTGAAAACAGAGTAAGTTTTATGCATTTCAAAACCAACACTCATACAGAATTATTTAGATTATTTTACTTCCTAGAATACTACAATGGCAATGATTAAAATCCTACAACATAGAACTGCCTTCTGTTCTGCTTCTATATAGTCCCTTCCTGGAATACTCCCAGGAGACAAATAATAAATACCAACTCCAAAGCTCCCAACACTAAAGCTTAAAGAAAATCCACAACACACTGCCTGATATCCTAAGGATGCAAATGATTTCCCAGGACTCATGACTCTCCCCAATACTACACAGTGCTACACTCAAACCTTTCAGCTCCAATTTCACTAACACAAACATTCACAGAAAGGACTGGGCTGTATCCACAAGCTGGATTGAGACAAACACTAGAATGACCAGCAGCATCGCAATAGTTAAGAGTTGCCAGACGAGTGATAATAATAGGCTTCAACACTAATCCTCTCCTGAGCAGACTAGGAAAAGCTCATAGTTTCTTTGGTTCTCTTGTTCCAGTCTGGCTGCTAATTCAAAACATAGTTATAGATCAGTTTACATTGTGAAGGTCATACCCACAAGGTCATGAACATTCCTTCTCTTAACTGGAGCGCAGGCTCACAAAATCTGTGCAAATGCAGACACAAATCTAAGCCATTAGGGATGTCTGGATCTCACACTCCTATGGACTGGTCACAAACAGAAGGCACCAGAGTGTTTTATTTCAGGTCCAAAGGGTGCTGACCCTTCTAACTGTCCCTACTTTGTCACCATGACACTGTGCTGTAATACAGCCACATGAACTCAAACTGTCCTGATGAAACTAAACTGAAAGATGCAATACAGCAACTCAAGGGCATTCAGTTTGCCAGGCTGAAACTGTTCTAAATCAAGCACCCAAAAGGCCTTCATCAGATTCTTGTTCTACAGACCCGCTCTTACTGGTTTGCCCTGCTCTGTAAATGTGGATACAGCCACAGTACCAGTTAGCTTCATAGATTCTGAGTGTTTTCCATGTCAAACAAACTCTAAAAGCCAACTGATCTTCACAGTCTTCCATGTTCTTTAAAGGGAACCAAAACCAAAGCTCATATTACATGAGTTTTGTGGGGGGGGCAAAAGTGGGAACAAGGGAAGGGAAGAGAAAAAAGGAAATGAGAGATGCTGCTGTCTGCTATTTCTTCAGTTATTTAGACTGGAAACCTGAGAGAGTGGAGACAAAAAGCCTTCAAAGACATCAAGGATCAGCTATGGGTTTCTTGGGGACTGGACACACTATTCATTTTTCATTTGGCAGCAGAGTTCTTGGAACGAGCCATTGACTACTGTCATGGAAAACAACAGGCATTCAGCCAGCAGAGGCAAGGATACACCTCAAAATTTGCACCTATAATTTACTGGGATATCTGGGGCAATATATCCTGTTTGATATGGTAAATTAAGCGGGAGTATCAGGGTGTATTTTTATTTTGCCCAGTAAAACTTCTATGTGTTCATGCTGCCTATTACAAAAAAAAAAAAGAAAAAGTGTGTCTTCACAGCTCTGGATGCAATGCCCGAGCTCTGAAACCTGGCTGAACAAGTTCAGTCAGTGTGAAACAGCCCTATGCACTTTCTGTTTACTTCAGACCACCAGAAGGAATACTTTGCCTCCTCCTGAGGGAGGAGTTATGAGTTGTGTGCACTACTTCAGAATAAGTGTACAGTGTTCCTTAGCTCCCAATGCTGGGGGCTGCTATGTCTTCTCATGTATTCCAGCAAAACACTGCACTTCAAACTTAACTGTGAACAAAAGCAATTTTCTGTTAAGGCCAACAAACTAGGCTGATTTCAAGGCATCTGTTTTAAATCCAGTCTCTGTTTCTTTCCTAATAGATTTACATTTCAGAAGACCACTTTTCTTTTCAAAGAAGGACATTTTATGAGGTTACTCACGGGAACAAGTACTGCAGCTTGGCTTATTGTAACCCCCACTCATTTCCCTCCATGTCCTAAATAGACACCTTTGTATATCCCTTTTTATAGTCTCTTCAATACTCTGAATTTACTTTCCAATGCTTAACACCTTGCCACCATGGTTCTTCTACATGCTCAGACCTACTATTTAGCACTTTCTCCCATATCCCCTATGTCACCAATATTTATGTTCCCAATATTGTCAGTATGTTAAGCCAAGTCATTTGGTTTTATCCACTAAAGTAACACTTTGGTCCCTATGGTGTCCCCAGTGCCCGCTCCAAAAGCTCATCTCACAACATCATATGCTGTATCTGATTCTGGTTCTCTGTCTGGGCAAGATGAAACAGTACTATTAGAACTAAAATATCTGCTTAGTGCTAGGCATATCTTCTAAATAGACAAGGAAAGCAATTTACCAACATTTCCCTTTGTGGAGGGCACCAATTCTTTACAAAGTAACAGTTTTTCAAGAAACATTTAAGAACGTCACATCTTTAAGACCCCTAGTACACAGAGAAATGTATCTGAAACGGATCCATAATTTTCAATATTTACCAGAGAGAAGAGTTAACATAAACTCCAGTCTCAGCAGCAGGACTATTTCCATAGGAACCAAACCAGGTTAAGAGCTAATTTTATACTGAAGTGAAACAATCAGGTAAAAGTGGATTGAAACCATTTCTTATTACTCTTATATGAGGCTGGATTTACTAGATGGAGTTGCCAAAAATATGCTAATGTACACGGCTCAATATAGCTTCCAATACACAATAAAAGCAAAAAAAAAAAAAAAGCAAAACTTTCTGGGGCAATTTCAGGCTGTTTCAGTCTATAATTATTGTTCATATCAAAATACCTCGTGGCTATGAAGTAAAATGCAGTCTCACAAGGTTTTTAAATGATTCATATTCTTGACTTGTAAAACCTCTCATCTGTCACAGATTACTCAAGGACTCTCAAGAGGAAACTCTGAAAATATTATACTGTCTTGATACAGGAGGTATTTTCTCAACATCCAAATGGCTTTAAAATGAATTTATCTTGAAATGTCAAGAAACCATCAACAGAAAGCCTTCTGGTATCTTTGCTGAAGAAAAAGTGAGTGCAAGGACTGCAACCAGTAATTCAGAAAGGAGCAGAAAAATTTATTGTAATATATGAACCCACTTTAAGACTACACCCAAGGGGATACTACTATCATTAGCCCACATTACCCTAATGCCTACAACTACAAAAAGCAGCAAGGAATCCAAAGGGACTTACCTATGAGATACATGCCAATCCAGTCCCCTGCATCCACTTCCTCCTTAATATCCCAGTATATCACTAGGTCCTGTGAATGCCCAATAGAGTAGTAGGAGCTGCTGACCATCAGGGTGGACCGGCTGTCTGAAGTGACAAGGTCTGTGTCACTGGTAGACCTAGGAATTGTGACCGTCTCATGGGAACTGCTCCTGATGTCCATGTTATGGAACTGGTCAGGGTTATAGCTGTATCTGAGAGGCTCTTTGCACCGGCGCCGATTTTGTGAGTTCCTAGATGGAGATGCCATGGCTGCCAGGCCCAGGAACCTGTTTTGGTAAAGATTCTGTGAAGAAAAAAAAGGAAGGATAGTATTTACAGTGTTATTAATTTTTACAGTGTTATTAATTTTTCAGTGATATCAGAGTTCAGGAAAAGTAGAAAGTTACAGCAAGAAAGAAGCAGATCTTTTTCCATTTATCATTGCAGAAAAGAGACACAAAAAGAGACAGCAAGAACAGTGCTAACTCAACTCCTACTCAGAAACTCTTATCGTGAAATCAAGTGTAAAAGCAAACCTTGCACCACCAAGCTCAGCCGCAACTGAGCTTGGCAGTGTAAGGAAATTAATAGGAACTGGCTTCCTCCATGTTAATGCACATATCCAGACACAAACACCACGACTATTGAACTGCCAGAGAGCCACCCTCTTTCAGTGTCATGAGACAGTCTTCTCACTTTTGACACCTGGAGTTGAGTGTTAGCCCCAGTAAATCTTGCTACACTTGCAGAGGAATCCTTCTTACGGCGCAGTCACTCTAGAGACCATATTTCACCTGGAGAGACCAGTTAGCAGTAAAAGCTACTCCTCCCTGCTGGGTATCTGAAGTGTGAGTACCATGAAAACAGAGTTAACCCTGCTACAAAAATAGAGATGCCTTCACAGAAGTATAAATACATAGTAAGTGTTGAAATGCTGCTCTGTACAGCTGATAGCTTCCAATGCTACAGCTCTGATCTGGTTTTTGCAGCAGATTGTGAGATACTAAGCACTCCTCGCTCAGGTAGGAATTTATGAATGCACCAGAGAATTAATGATAACTGAGAAGGTTACTGCAGAGTAGTCATCATCCTAGCAGCAAATGAAAATATGAAAATATTTTCATTTCAACCTACCCTTCCTCAAGGCAAACTGAGTGACTTGTACAAAATGTGTCTTGGTGCATGAGTAAAGAGCTTTTGTGAGATGGCAGATGGAGAATGCTTAAGTTATGACTGGGTTAAATTCTGATGTGAAGACATTTTCTGATACTGATCAAAATACTAGTTATTCCTGACTTCTATACTGCTTGTTTTTCCATTTTCCCTCTTCTCTCCCTGCAGCTCTGCTGTTTCAATCACTGAGCTTTTCATTATTCATTAGCCTTCCATTATCCGTCTGTTGCCAACCATGTTGTCAAGTCTGTTAGATACAAAACCAGACAGCTTTCCAGTGTGCAATGAAATGCTTTTCACATGATCAGAAGTCAAATCGTCCTTTTGAACTCAAACAAATTAAGTGGCAGAAAATCATAGCTCCTTTGTCCAGCCGGCAGTTATTTAATGCCGGCTTTATTAAGGCTACGGTAGCACAAAAGACTAATAAGTCCTGAAAAAAACCCAAATATTTTCTTTATTAATACTGTTTTGGGGAGAATAATTAAGCAACCTATTATTGTATCTTAGGATTCTGTTTCGCAAAAACTATACAGAGAGCAAAAATTCAGCTGGCATGTTTGCAGCCCTAGAATATGCTGTCACTTTGCAAACACTGCCCAACAACGCTCACAATCCGCTGACCCAAATCCTCACTTACTGCATTAAACAGGGTTTATAAGCAAAAATAGCTCTGGTGGGAATGCTGCACATTACAGGAAGTGCTGCAAGACTGCAGCTAATAATGCAAAAGGTATTTTTTCCTCTACTAGAGGGAAGGGAAGGGAAGGGAAGGGAAGGGAAGGGAAGGGAAGGGAAGGGAAGGGAAGGGAAATGCAAATGTGTTACATTTGCTCTGCATCCCATCCTGTCTAATTTTGCTGCTTCATTTCTTGGATTTATTCACTGTTTGGAAAGAGAGTTCACTTTTTATCAAGAAGCATGCTGTGAACATTTTCTAATCTGGGATGCACAAGCGGGCACACAAACTATCACACTAGTCAGTAAATTAAAATTGTTGGTGGTTTCTGTCACTTAGCAAAGAAGGCACTGGCTGTCACAACAGTATCTGACATAACTAGAATTAGCTTTATAATTGTGAGATATCAATGTAATGAATATAAACTTCACTCTTCTGGATTAGTCTGTATCATTAACGTGGGTTCCTTTGCTCACTGCACTACTCAAAATCTACTTCAGTTCAAAGGCAGACACTTTATTTCTGGTGACAAATTACTCCAGGGAATAGTGGCTCTGCAGATACTCTCACTTCTGAATGTTAATGAATGTAGAGTATTAATTAACTGCATACCTTACAATTAAATTAGACAAACTTTTTTTTCAGCTTCAGCATGAGTTTAAGCAGTTTTAATAAAAATGGTATATTTATCACTCTGTTTGAATTCTGTAAGTTCCTGTTTTCTTGTATACTGATGCCAATGGAACAAATGGCATAATTTTAAAGCAACTCAGAAGGCCAAATTCTTCATAAATCCAACTCCCTTGTACTTTTTTCTAGAAAATCCCCACTGTGAAAAAAACTCCAAATGAATGAAATAGTCACACATAATAATCTGGATTAAACAATGGCATCAAAATACAAGCATGGCTGTATGAGTAAGTAGAAAAGAGGTTAGGTAAAATAGTTATTCCACATTTTATTACCAGCTTTTCATGTTTTCTGTGTAACTATCTAAAGCTCCCAAGCCCTGGTAATAGAGTCCCAGCCATGCTGAGACAGCTTAAAAAACTGCAAAGACATCCTCTTGATGTCTTGTGAAAGTAATCTGATCCATCATGGATACATAATATATTTTTTAAAATATGTCACTATTAGGGGTGTGAGATTAGTATTTACTCAATCCTCTTGCAGAGGTGTGTACACTACACTAAACACCTATTTCTGATATAGAGTGTAAATTATAAAGCAAGAACAAAGAAAGGCCAAATGTTGGTTGTCAACAAACACCTCTTCATTTCTGCCTCAAAACAGTCATTCTACAGCTGCATCTACAGTCAGTCCTTGCAGCGGAATTTCCACTCAGGGACGCTCCGCACAAAATGACCCCCAGGCTTCACCTTCCCACTCACTCCCCTCACTGCTGATTTTCAAAGAGCTCTGGAAAGCTTTGTCTCTAAAGATCTACCAGCTACATGAAAGTCCTACCCAAAATCAGATATTTGGAGGATAATCTGTGAGCAGCCATTTCCCTCTTATTTATCTCACTTAGTCCATCTAATGCAAGCAAACACCAGAAAAATTAACTGAAGATTTCTTCTCCCTCCTATATAAATCCAGCTGCAATACTAACAGGGAAAGCAGGATCAAGCAGCCTAAATGAAATTACAGATGAGATATGACTGTAACCTTAAAAAATATAAACATAGAAAACCTGTAATCAGTAAATACCAAGAAAATAAATTTCACAGTTTCTTCCCACCATTTTTCCCTTTCTCACTCACACCTCTCTCCTTTCCCAATTGCTGTTTAGCATTCAGAAAGTACAAAGCTGCTGTCACCAATGCATTTTCCTTCATCACCTGGAAAAAGGGTGCCATCAATGGTACTTGTCTCCTTCTTTGAGACAAGAAGAATCCTCTGGCTGAGAGGCTTCATACCATTATTGCTAACTGAATTTCACCACAGGATTTAGAGCTGCCATGGAAGCGAAGCATCCCCTGCAAGTCTGTAGAGTTTAATGTTAGGGATTTTTCTCTCTTCTTTTTTGTGTTTTGGTTTGTTTGGGGTTTTTTGGTTGGTTGGTTGGTTGGTTGGTTGGTTTTTTGTTGTTTTTGGTTTGGGTTGGGTTTTTTTGGTTTTTGGTTTTTTTTGTTTTGTTTTGGTTTGGTTTTTTGTTTGTTTGTTTTGTTTGGGATTATTTTAAATTATGCTAGAAAAGTCCATGATGCTTTAGCAAAAAGAGATATATCTCAGCTAAACATCTGCAAGGATCCAGCTCTGTTCTCTGTTCAGACAATTAGGAGCTGTCTTCCAGACACTTGAACTGATACCATTTACCTCCGATTGCTGGAAGATGGGTTTGTGCAGGTCAGGATGGTGGTACAATGGACTTTCACTGCTAATACCAAAGACAGAATGTGATTGAAACACAACTCATCACTGGAGCCCTGGCAGATGAAGAAATTAAAGAGAACAAGGTGACAATATTAGCCACCTTGACAGTGGGCTCCAAGTAGTCACTCAGATGTTTGCAAGCATCACTCAACCCAAATTTCAAGGGCAAGTGCTGAGAAAGACAATGAGGTAGCTTTCTGTGAGGGGAAGCCTGGGACACAACACATTTATGCATCTGATAATTCAATATGCCAGTAGTCAAGTCTGATATCATAGGCAAATCAGATGTGGAGTCAGTCTCTTGGTTGCTCCACCAGAAATTAAGGCTCTCCTGAAAAGCTTTTAGCTGCCATTTGCAAGGCTTATGCATTTTTTTTAAAGACAAGAAGGAGCTAAGACTGATTTAAAAGTAAAAAATTAGGGCAGTCTGGTGAAAGTGATAAATTACCTCAGCAGAACTCTTCAGGCCAGCTTTCAAGAAGTGAAGAGCATTTGTGTCAACAAGGATATTGCACTATCAAAACACTAAGTAAGGTGGTAACAGCCTGTATGAAAGATTTGGTCAGGTGCATGAGAGAAAACCTAAAAAGATTTAGAAAACCTAGTCATAGCCCAGGTATGAACACCTAGGGCGAAATCCTGAGGCTGGGCCAGAAATACAAGTAGGAAAACAATGGTGCCTACAGTCACCAAAAGATGTGATGGTAATCTGCAAGCCAGAGCTCTTAGGAACTTGAAGGTGAGGCTGCTGAAAGGGCTTTCAGCATGTACAAATGTTTTATTGGAGCTTAAATTAGAATTGGGTAAGTTCTGAAAGACACAGTGAAGACACCTCTGTTGCATGGAACAACATGAACTGGGTGAAAGAAAAAGTATATGATAATGAACCTTGCTGCTGCTCCTTACAGGGAACCTTGCTCTCAACTCAGCAATGTGAAGTCTTTCCTCAGAGCAAACTCTCTCACTTGCCATAGCCCTGAATACTTATTGCACGATCTGCTTCTTACTCTTCCCAGGAACCTTCCCATCGTCACTTCCACTCTCGGCCTGCTTTGGAGGCATCTCTTCCTGCTCTG